ATTATGTGTTCAGTGTTTGTGTGCCTTTAGATTAAAAACGTCGAGTCGCGGGAAGATACACGAAACAATCTCTCCTGCCGATTTGGTTTCTTTTCCATACACTTACGTTTAGCAATATATATATTTATATAATTTTTTGTAATCCATACCAATACATTACTAGTAGTACGCACTAATAAAAATACTATTAGCAATGTACAAATAATACATCATACGCGTGTCTTGCAAAATTATATAAATATAAACATTCATATGACTTTGAACGTCTTCAAAAAAATCCGTCGTCAGCTGCCTGCACTTACATTTGCATCGAGCCATACAAATACCCATTATTTTTTGTTCTAATCTCTTTCTCTCGCTGTCACTTTTTTACACACACAAACACACACACACACATACACATCTCGACACCCCTCAATTTGAACTACACGATTGCATTATTAATTTTTTAAACTCATTAACTGCATTACTTTTTTTTCGTTTGATTATATACACCGAGATAAGAAATTGTGATCAAGTGTGTGGTTACGTGTTTTTTTTTCTGCATTGAGAAAATTTTAATCGAGCGCTGCCGGCGCGCGAGTAGATTATATCAATGTTATAGAATTTATTTTGCAAATTTTCATTTTCCTAGATTATTTACACGAGGAAGGGTGAGCTACTCATCGCATTTTCCGATTCTCTCTTTCGTTTGTATTGTTTAATTTCCAGGTTTCTTACGTTCTTTTCTTTCTTTTTTTTTTTTTTTTTTCTTTTTTTTTTCATTGCCCGAGATTTGCTGATTTCGTCATTTCGTTCGACTCTTCGAAGTTTTTTTTTCATTAAAAAGCGTTTAAACTACTTAGCCGAGCTTTTTTTGTATAGAAGATCGATTACAAATTTACTGATTGCTCGTTATGTAAACTTTTTATTTACATATATGAAGTTTTGAAAATTTTTGTCAGTCAAAAGAAAAACTTTTTTTGTCGAATATTTGGGAATCTTAAAATATTGAAACAAAATTCTTAGAATTTATGAATAAATACTGGTTAAAATCTTGTCAAGAACAAATTATCAATAGCTAATTGATAAAATTTTGTTTAATGTAAAAATAAAAATTACCACAATACTCAAAATTGCTCATTCAATATAAAAGTTTAAATCGTTTATTTAATCTCTTAATCTTAATGACTAACAATTTACAATAAAGACATCGAATTATAAATACAATTAATTTCACGAGGTATATAAATACTATAAATACTATTCATAAAGATACAAAAGAAGCACCGACAAGAAATTCATTTTACTTTTTCTTCTAGCTTCTAGAGTCGTCATTTACTTTTCCGTACGAGGCACCAGATTGTTATTAGAAGATTTTTCTTATTGTCTTCTTGCGTGCTAACGTGCAAAAATAGAATCAGAATCATAGCTTAATTTTAGAATAAACGCTTACATTTTTTTGGTAAAAAAGGGGCTAGTAGCTGATAATCCTCGATAAGTCGAACGAGTCAATCTAGCTTTAGAAAATTTGTGTCTAAATCTTTTTTTACGCTCAGGTACATCACACGCGCGCGGCTCGCCGAAAATTTCATTAACAAAGTTCTCGTACAAATGTATATTCAAAATTTCATTAGATCAATCATGCGCAGACAACGACAAAAAACATTCAAAATAAGTGCGTCAAATACTAAAAAGACAAATGTAATAAATCACGAGTAAATTACATTATAAAGGATCGATACGAAGAAATCATTGTTGGCGAGAAACTAATTTATACAAAATATTTTTTAACGCTGTGACGTCCCTGAACTAACGAACCAGCAAAAGGCAAATAAAGAAAAAATAACGTAAGAATAGATTATAAATTTACGTGATCGCATTAACTAGATTACATACAACTATTTCATGCAATTTTGTATAATCTAGATAATACGCGAATTATTGGTTTTCCTATCTTAAGTGTAAAGAAACGCAATCATCATCATCATCATCATCATCATAAAAATAAAAAAATAAAGCTTAACAATTGGTAGAAACAATCGAGAGACGGATTGAACATTTGCGGCTCTTCGCGTCACGCATTTATCTCCCTCCTTTGAAACTTACTACTCAAATATTTATATATATGTATGTGTATATATATATATATCGTCATAATCATTATCGTCGTATCGAAAAAACACGTATGCAATGTATTACAATTAGTAACAATACCTACGTTGAGTAGTTTTTTAAACGTGTTTCTGTGAATGTGGGTGTGATAGTGTTTCTGTTGCTGTTTCAGCGTTTGAATATCCATTGAACGGTAATTAATAAAAATCCTTAAGTGCTAGAGAAACTGTAGATACGGAGAAAACTGTTTTTCCTAAAACACACAGCGGTTAAAGCGTGGATTTTCCATTCGTCGATTATTTTAACATTCACCAGAGAAAAATTGTAGATTAGAGGAGAGAAATCGAAAATGTAGATTTAAAAGAAAACCGAAAAAAACGAAAGAAAAAAATCGAGCGCCAGACACTTTATCCCTTCGATCTTCTCTTGGTTATTTCATTTTAATTTTCTAACACGAGCCACGACGATTACTCAACGTCGCAGCGATTGCACGCATCATTGCACAGCAGCTCAATCCTCTTCTTCCAAGTTTCTTGTTCCGAACAATTCAAAATCATCACACCGTGAGAGACGTTTACGGGAGTAGTATTAATTATAGTGGAGTAGTTTATAAAGATTAGGAGTAGAGACAATTCATTTTCTTCGTTAAAATTGTAAATAGCAATGTTTGTTCTTAGGTAAAGTTAGTTTGATGAAGAGGTAGTATCTTTCCCCCCCCCCTCATTCTTCAGCTTATTCTTTGCACAGTCAAGAGCTTAAAGCAATCTTGGTAGTACAATTGAATGTGTGGGGTTTAATTCTTTCGATCCATTCCTTTCCATTCACCAATTTCTCCCCTCTCCGTCATCTACCTCTCAAACACGTCTAGCCAAGTGGGAGACACTAGCTTCCGAAATCGATATTTTCATCATCTTATGACCTTTTCTCCCTCTCATCGCGAGAGAAAAGCAGCTGCTTGAAATACCAACATTAACACTTTTTCGTGTCGATTTTCATTCGAATTGCTACTTTTTTTTACGGAACCAGGGACACTGCCATCCCTTTCTTCGATATTCCCTACTTTTCTTTTTTTTTCTTTTTCTTTTTTTTTATCTCATTCTCTTGTCAACGCCTGCCTTTGGCAGAGAGCCTACTAAAATCAAGATTTACACAACTATTTGTGTATCCTCATTATGTTTCATATCCTTGGGGACAACGACGACGACGCTGCTGCTGCTGGTGCGGGTGGTGTAAATGATGCTGTTGTTGCTGGTGGACTGGCTGCTGCTGCTGCGGCAGCGCCTGCTGCTGGGGTTAACACCAACGAAAGGGCACGGCACGCGGCCGGTCCGCTCCCTCCTTCACCAGAGGCTTGTGGAACTCACGGCCTGGCCGCGAGTGAATCGTCGCCCAGCAATGCTCGCAGTAGTACTGGAATATCACACAACCATTTTAATTTTGCTATCTCAACGAGGAATCGCACAAAGTGGATGGAAACACCTTTGATAAATCGAACAATCGCTCGTAGAAAAAGAAAAAAAAAAAAAAAAAAGGCGCAAGTAGGTAGTTACCTGCAGGCAAGTGACGTTGGCGCAGAAAAATGGAGCAAACTTGCCGCTACAGCGCTGGCCCTGGCACTCGTCGCACATCTGATCATCTAGAACATACGGCTTGACCTCGACCTGAAAATTAGACGATTTCACGTGTTATTGTTGTTATTAGCTTTTCTAAACAGAAAGCTGTTCTCCGTGATCGACACGTCAACGGCACTAGGAGACAGAGAGAGAAAGAGATGAAAAAAGAAGGGAAAATTGATGAAAAAACACAAAACAATAAACTAGCCCACTGACCCTCTTGTCGATGTCGCTGTGCTGTAGCTGAACAAAGCGCGCCGATATCGCGGCGATGTAGCTCTGCTGATTGCTGAAGGCGACGCGGCCCGCGCCCTTGGGATACTTGAGTTCGGGATCGGTGTCGATACCAGCGTAGCAGACACCGCCGTACAGCCGGTCCATGATCATGGCGAGCTCGACGGCTTTGAGGGGCCGGGGCACACCACCCACGAAGACGGTCTTGCGGGGGTCGAGCGGCATCGAGGCGTCGAGCACAAAATCGGCGTCGCTCAGCCGCCAGGGCCGGATCTGCACGGGCTTGTCCTTGATCGTCGGGGAGCTCACGCACAGGTACAGCTTGTCCTCGTCCTGAATACACGCGTCGATCAGCTGCTGCACTGAGCTTTCATCCTGTGAGTAGATCGTACAAAAGAAACAAGGTCAATCCCGGTATAACCATTATTTTACTTACAAACGGCTGTTGTATGATTTACCTGGAAAAGCAGGAAAGCGTAGCCCTTGGGTGGAAAGTACGATTTGCTCTCCGCCTTGTGTGGCCAGTCGACGACCAGCGCGCCGAAGCGTCGGAAACTGGCTGTGATCTCGTCTGTCGGGATCAAGTGTCAAATTTATGGGTGTACATAACACGCGTTTTCGACAGGGAATTTAAATAAAAATTACCATAAACACGCGGCAAATAAAATATACATTTTTTTTTTTCACATGACAAATATCAGTGGCGAATCTAATCAACCGATCGTTTAACGGTAACGCACTTGGAAAAAAAAAAAAAAAAAGTGAAATCAGTAACGTACGAGTCGGCATCGCGTGAATGGATGTATAAAAAAAAAAGAAAAAAAAAGGAAAGAAAAAAGAAAACGGCTCACCTTCATCGATATCGGGAGGCAATCCACCGACAAAGACTTTCCTGGAGAAGCGCTCGCCGGTCTCGCTGCCCTGGCTGTGGGGACTGCTGCGGCTGGGTGACGAGAGCGAGGCGTTCGGGGCCATGACGTTGACACCACCGCCAACTCCGACGCCGTCGAGCTGACCCGGCACGTTCGGGTCCTCCAGGAGATTGCCGCTCGGGTCCTCGAGGGTCGAGAAGAACGGGTTTTTACCTGCAATGAGAAGTCACGGGGTTGTTTTTTTTTTTCCCTTTGCTTTTCCTCGACTTTTTTGCTCAAGGTGCGTGTCATTGTGTGAAAATTGCTGTTCGCAAAATGAGCGGAAAAAAAATGGCAGAGAGGTCATTGACACCGACGCGCGAAAAACAAACGATAAACCGGGGGGGGGGGGAAGTCGCACTCAAAGGGAGAAATAATATTAAATCGAGGATGAAAAAAAAAAAAAAAAAAAAAATAGATCACTGGAACTCACTAGGTCGGTGCTTCCAGGTAAACTGTGCCCTGCGCACGCGGGTGACCATATTTTCCGCACGACCACCGATTCTTTTCAAAGCTGCCATTCCGGGGAAAATCGCTAATGTTACTCGCGTTAACCGATACGAAACTCGAAAATGTACGCGGGTACTGATCCTCCGACCGACGTGCACGCTTTAGCGACGATGTGCACAGCTCGAGGGTAGAGGAAAAAATGGGACGGCGCCGCGAGGAGTAAGTCGAGCAGCGGCTATAGACTGAGCGTCGCCTGTTTCGTCCCGCTTCCTCCTTTTCCACTTATATCCGGAAGTGGATGCACGGCCCGGCTACTTTTCGCGAATCTGAATTTCGCGGGAGGCGGTACTAGTCGGCTCTAATATACCGCTGTGTGCGCTTCCCTATGCTCGTAGGTGCGATGTGCACGCGCGCGGCGCTGCTGTAGTGCCGAGAGAGGTGCTATAGTTCACGGAGCTCCCGGTCATTGACACTTTTGCGAATTTGATGTTTTGTTTTTTCGGTCGATGCCATCGCATATACGTTCATCATATAGGTATATACTTGCAGTTACTACTTTTTTCTTTTTTTTTTTTCTCGTATGGGTGAATACACCCAATAGTCATGTCTTTGCGCGAGTTTTATACACACCTTTTTTTTATATGTCGACATGTAGTGAATGTTAATAATTAAAACAGCGATCTTGGGTGTGGTAATTATTTTTAAAACTTTGCTGCTGTGTAGTTAAAAAAAAAAGAAAAAAAAAAAAAAAAGACGTTGCGACGATCGATATCAGCTATAACAGCTGAAACAGACGATTCAGCATCGAATAACCCTCTTTGTAAAGCGGTTGGGCAACGAACTAATAAATAAATCTAGCGAAAAACCACTAGGTGTGTATATTGTAATGTAGGTGTTACGGCAATAGGAGCCATGTATATTGAACAGCGATGGGACGAACAGACAACTTCTCCGCGTATAGTGTATAATATGTAACGTACAGATAAATTAAAAAAAAAAAGCACAAGTCGCGAAATCGCCGTATAAATTATAGAAAATGAGAAGAAAAAAAAAAACCACTCGAAAGTACAGCCACGATCGATTAAGATCCTCGAGAGTATAACAATGTAGTATTAATTATACCGACGATTACAGAGATCTTTGCTTAGGGAGTCGCGTGGTTCGTCCCGTTTGCGAAATCACCCGAGCTGACACGATGGGCGCACCGTTTGGAGAGGAGTCTCGTGCTTCGTACATGATCGTACAATACTCGAACAACAAACTAAAAAAAAGACCCCCCGCGCAGCAACAAACAATGGCAAAGGGCTGGAAAAAAAGCGACAGCCCGAGAAAAATCCCGTAATCTCCGCCGCGGAATCGCCAGCTGCGAAAGCTCTGGGGCCATTTTTCCGTGGCATCGACCTCTTCTCCTCCTCCTATACTCTATCCACATAACAGCCTAGCAACAAACAAACGAACAAAAAAGACACGAGTATCGCAAAAAAAAAAAAAAAAAAAAAAAAAAAAAAAAAAAAAAAAAAAAAAAAAAAANACCCCAAAAAAAAAAAAAAAAAAAAAAAAAAAAAAAACAAGCAAGGGATGTACACCTACATACGCGGAGGGGGGCCAAGAGTTATCGCGCAGCAAGAGAACAGATACACAGAGAGAGAGAGAGAGAGAGACACGAGCAAACACCTACTATAACCCTCGTGCTCTAATCTCGGGCGATCCTCTTCCCTCGCGTCTTTTTTTTCCCCCTACTTCCACGAAGCGCGAGGAGTACCTATATACACAACCCACGGCTCCTCCGATGCACAGCTTCTCCGAAACATTTCGCGAGGAGCACCCGGTACGTATATTATAACCATAGGCGAGAGAATTGCTCGTTGGCTCGGCTATACCATCGGAGGGGCAGGAGGGGTTTTTTTTTTTTCCATTTGATTCGCCCGGGTGACGGACCAAAAGGCCAAATGGCGCGCCTGTAACGAGTCGCGACGTATTGTTTTCTAGAGCAACTGTTTTCCGGGACGCGCCGTTTCCCACGTGAAATTTCATCCCGGAGCATTGTACGGCGGCTGATTGATATTGGACGAGCGCCCGATTGCAATTACCTATAAATTTGATGGGAGGGTACCGCATATACCTATATGTACAACGTGTGGTATACTCGTTGAGTAATTAAGCCGTACGCGATGGGATCGAAAGAAAAAATACGCGATCGATGCGTCCAATATCTTATCTTTGGTGCCGGTGTGATTTTCGAAAGTGGAATCGCTGCTGCTTATATTGGGGAAATTCAATTTTATCTGCCGCGCAACAGCATCACCGGGGGCAAGCTTATCTCCAGAGTTCTCTTATCTCTCCGATATCCCGAGGCACTGGAAAAATGTTTGAAAAAGAAAAATAAATACACAGAGCTTCGTGAAATCCCTCCCATCCAATCGGGAAAAAGGGGATATGTATATATGTGTACACACACACAAATGTAATCAGGATAACGAGAAGCTGCGCGGAAAGCCTGCCCTCCTCTAATTTTCAATCCACGCGAGAGGGAGGTGGTGCAAGGCGTGACGTTTCGCGCTCAGCCGTGTAATTCGTTTCTTTTCTCTCGCTCACGTCCGCGCACTCGAGAGAAACTTTTCCATCAGACCCTTTTTTTTTTTTTTTTTCCTCCTCTTGCCTTCCTCCGTGGGTGTATACACGTACCCTCTTGGCTTCTTCATTTTCTCCTCCTCCACCAGCTTCGAAAGAGGGAGATGTTTGAGATATAGGGGGCTCGTTGAACACGCGGCTGTACCTATCAGACGGTATACTTATTTATGGGCCTATGATGGCTGGCGCGTGCACGTCTCATTGGGCTTCGTTTCGTATTTTACCCTCCGCGTGAACATTTTCCCGACAAACCTCGCCCCGAGCCGATGATGATACGCAAGGGAGATAGCGAGTACTGCTTGGTTAACAACTCTCTTTTTCCTCGACAAACCAAGGTGTTTTTTTTTTTATTTTATTTTTTTCTTTGGAAAATCAGAGAGACGCGAGGAGTGAATTTCAATCGTCATACGGAGTAAATGGACGAGAAACCAAGTTTCAATCGGCGAACGAGACGAAAACACACACAACTAAACAAACACACGGTTGGGCGTTTGCAATTTTAATCAGAGAGCAGCTAGATTTTTCTCCGTACCTAGAGAGAGGGGGATGAACAAAAAAAAAAAAAAAAAGAAAATCCCCAAAGCTAGGATATACCCGGGGAGTCGGGCGCAAATGAGAAAGATAAGAAACGAGCGAGCGTGGATTAGACGCGAGGAGAGAGAGAGAGAGAGAAGAACGAAAGAAGAAGCAGTAATGAGGAGAAGGGGCTTGGAAAATTGCCAGTGAAATAATTAATTGGGCTATCCGCGGGGAAGAAGCAGCCCTCGACCTTTTTCCTCCCTACATGTATATTATACATACACCGCCTCTTGTGCTTATTTTTTTATGCGGGTGTACGTATACACCCGATGCGCGTTTCTTTTACAGCTGACGTGCGACCGTATAAGGTGCTGTCGCGCACGCGCGTCGCGTCCCTTTGCTCTAATCTGTTTTTTATTTGACGAGTCATGTAATGCTACACGCTTGTACGCACGAATCGATTGAATTTACGGACGCTCGCGAGAATTAATGGCCCTTTTGTTTTTTCACTTTTGAGGAGGGTTTTTTCAAAGAACATTCAAACACATGTCATTTACGACGCATAATAAGTACAATACCTACGTAATCCTCGACACAACAGCGAATTTATGCTTATATAAGTGTAGGTACATACACAATTATGGTAAAACAAAAAACGGGTCAACAACACTTGTCAACGTGATCAGTTTCACTCGTGAACTTTAAAGTGGAAAAAAGGAGAGAAAAAAAAAAATAAATAATTAAAGAAAGAAAAAGTGTGACACATCACCACCCCCATGCACTTTTCATCCCCTTCTCACCAAACAACAGTAAACACTTTGAAAAAACACGTTTAAAAAAATATTACAAGGTTTATAGGCAAGCAAGTACCTCGAAACTCTTCTTCAAGAACGCGAGCGACAGTTTTGAGATCCATAACCAGGAAGGAGCAGAAGAGAAAGAGAAAGAGAGAGAGAGAGACAAGTTTTATAAATAGAAGAAGAAGATGAAGAAGACGAGTAGGCGCAAACACAGCAGACACACGCGCGTCGACTACGGCACGAAACCACTCAGCTGCTTACACTTTGTGCGTGTGTGTGCGCGTGTATACATGTACGTGATATGTATATGCACTGCCACGTATTACGTATATATAGAATGCAAGAGACGTGAGCCAACAACGCACATCCACGCCAGACCCACGCTCGGCCGGCACTAATGTAAGTGCAGCGCGACGACGGGCAGGCCAAGCGCGCCCCCGAATACTTGCCGTGCTCCACACCACATCCCCCTTTTAACCCGCAGCCAACTCGGAACACCAACCATAAGAGCCAAGGGAGGGATGCGACACGTTTCCATCGATTTCCATATATACACGCGGAGACGTCACGTACCCCCTCCCTCCCCGAGTCCGTCTGCGTGTATGTCCCCCCTTCGCCCCTAACGTAAGTATACAACCTATAGACGGTTACGTCATCAACGCCGGCTGCTGGCTGTATATATATACACGCTCCACGGTATAATATATATATATATATATATACACGTGTGTAGTCAGTTTGAGGCCACGAGCTTGGAGGGGTTCAACGACCCCCTCGGCCCCCTCCCCAACCCCGGGCAAGCGTAGTTTTTCGCCCGTCGCGCACGTGAGTACACAACTGGATACACGCGCTTTTCCGCGCTCATCGTCTTTCCCTGCGTTTTTCGCCATCGCTGCAGATATCCGATATGCCCCCTGCACCCCCTGCTTTGGCATACACTAGGTGAGGGGGACGGGGGGAAGGAAGAAAAAAGTTTCTCTCCGAGTAAGGGTGTTTTCCAATTGGCTGGCTTTCGGGGTTGTTTACGTTTTTCGGGTGTAGGGCGTATGGGGTGCGTATGTTGGGTTTTTCAGACGTATTCTGGGGGTGATGAAGACGACCGTTTTTCGTTTCGAGTATTGATTTGATTCGTCTGTTGGCTCGTTGCGCTCGTGCGCGCGTGTGTGTGGTACCGAACTTACGAGAAGTACTTTGTTGATTTGTTCGATATACATGAGGGAGGGGGGGGGGGGGGGGTGGATTTGTCACCGTGACACAGTTACCGGGGAAAATGTACTTGTCGTCGGTGTAGTCCGTACACGAAGAAAAAACAAAATAACAGATGATCTGCGATATCAGAAGAGCGGAGAAAGAGAAAAAAAGAAGAGGTGGAACGGAGAGCCTGAAATATAATATGTATTCACGGGGTATGCCCTTTGTATTTGGGCACGGGGTGGATACAAGTGGAATCGTCACGATGAGCGCGGTCCGTGGAATAATTCAACGAAAACGAGGGCAAATGAAGTACTTGTTTCTTTTTTTTTTTCTTCTACCCGATGCCTATTATTTCTCCTTTCAACTCGGGCGGTATAAATTAATGAGGCCGCGCGTACCGGTGTCGCTCTGGCTTTTGTCGACGGGACGGAAGAAACAAAAGGATCCGTAATGAAAAAAAAAAAAAAAAAAGAAAAGTACCGACTCGATAATTCAGGTGCTTTGGATTACAAGGGGGGGGGGGAAAGGGCGCACGAGTGCATGTTGCCGATACGATTAATGAACCAAATCGCGGGAGTTTCTACGTATATACATATACGCTTAGGGGACGGTGGATTTGCAAAATGCAATTTTCCAGCCCCTGCGTACACCTGCATACGAATAAGACAATGTCACGGTCTTGAATAAAATCTCGATGTACGTAGGGAACTACCCAGTTGTACGAGATAGAGTTCTATCACTTTCCCATAGGGCAAAATGAAGAGGAAAAAAATCGCACGAGGCTTCCATCGTTGGTTTATCAAAACAGTACGTGTTTTGTTGAACCAATAACGGAAGACGATCCAATGGGATCGGCAGAAAAATTTTAAAAAATCGACCGGCAAGAACGACAAAGGCACATTACCTATTACAGTTTGACGCAACAATAACAGCAGTTATCGACGCCGCTGCAACGCAACAAAGCGTCAATATCAGATTAAAAGCAACCACGGCTTGGCCCGATGTATAATACCTCATACTAATTGCCATAACGGCGCAAAACACATTTACATAATCTTTAGACACGTAGGGAGGGTGGTTCGCTCGAGTTTCCATTGTGCGCACAATATTACGTAAAGGAGGTGGGCAATATATTTGTAATCGCGAGTATAATATTAATAATAAACCGAGGGAGTATCCAATTTTGTAGTTTTTGAACAAACAAAGATCCACCCCCACGATTGCCAACGTGAGCTTGTCCACAAAAGCTCGGGCAAACAGCTCCATCACCGCGTGGAGCGTACAGGGATAATGTGTGCACGTCACCGGCAAGCGATACCGTTTGCCGCAAGAAATTGGAGTAGGGACTCAAGGGTAAATTGTCTAGGACGTGATTAATCGACGTGGCGGGGCGATCGATCAATCTCTTGCTGGGGATAATGATGTGCCTCTGGGTACAACTTAAACTCGGGCACGTCATCGAAAATTAAAAGAGTGTGCGTCCCGCGAGTCGATGTTGGTGGTGACGGTGGTCGCGTGGCGGGGCCACGGTAATGGATTATCATTTGGCGAGGGAGAAATTGAATCGTCGGAAATTTGGCGTTTCGAAAGAGAAAAAAAAAGGAGTGTATGGTAAGAGGAAAAAGTACGCGCGCCCGCTGTGGTCCATTAGGGCAACTCGAGGAATTCCACGGCAAACAGGCCCGTCCTCCTCCTCCTCCTCCTCGGTGTTTTCGCAAGAACTCGCTGTCCTTACGGCATATACTGGCAGTTAAAAAAACCAACGTTAAAAGCGGGAGTGGAAGAGATTTCTTCCTCCTCAAACTCGCGCGATTCTCTCTGAGAAGAGGAAGAGAAAAAAACCCGGGCCTGCGTGACTGATGGGCCTCCGTGGAGATGTTTAGCATCAGCGTTTCAAGTCTCGTATAATTGCTGATTTTACAAACAATTGAAAGAAAAAAGAAAGAAAAAAAAAAAAACCCTCGTTAAACTACCTCCAAGTATATATTGTACCCATGGAAAGTTTATCGTCGAGTAGTTGAGGTTTTTCTCGCGTGTACTTGTAAGTTTCGGAAAACCGCGCGTGCAGTTACCGCGTGCGCGCAATTATCAAAACTACGGTACAGTCCACTTCGACTTGTGAATATTATACTTGTTTGCGTAACGAAGAAATTATATGCTTTTTTTCCTTACCACATTGTACTTGCGCATATAGACAGACTTTTTCAACTTCGGGATTGTATTCCGGGTTTGTTTATCATTATTCCTGAAAAAACTCTGTAGACGAAAAAAAAAAAAAAAAAAAAAAAAAAAAAAAAAAAAAAAAAAAAAAAAAAAAAANCGGACGAGGCAAAATCGAACCAACGTCGCGTCCAAGAAAAAAAAAAAAAAGAGGCGACCGCGAAAGCTTCACGCATGTATGTATAGGCGTGTGCACCCTATTATATGCGCAGCAATCGGCCTCGAAGCGATGTATTATGCAGATTGCAAATACCTACCCGGGCGAGGAGGAGAGACAGGAAATTAAATGCATCGGTGCCGCTCATAAGTATACTCATATTTGTACCCTCGTCGCAGTAGTACGAAGTATCGTATAGTCAGTCAGGGCCGCGGAGTTGCATATGTAGCGACGACGGCCGATATCTCCTCCTTCTGTATATATCCCGAGGTCAGCTTCTCTTTGCTACCATCGCACATAATATGTATATGTATGGAAAAAAAAAAAAAAAAGAAAAAAGAAAAAATAAAAGAGTACAACTTACGATGGTAATGGTTTGGATGTTTAAACCGACGGGATTGTGACGTACCTGCAACTGAAAGAAAAAGAATAAGGCAATTTAGTGCGACTGCTTTATGTTCAAGTGCAAAGATAAATATATTGGATGAAAAATGGATTTCTCATTAAAAATAAAAATTGTTAATTTGAAGGAAAGTTGTCTGTTTGCGAGGATCAAACAACATCGATTACCAAACCAACACACGTACTATTGCACACGTGATTGCAACGTAGGAGAACCACAATCATACCTATACTCATTGGTATAGGATATAACAACAGTATATATTTACAGTATAGTATCGATCGAGGCCAATCTAGCGCGAATTCTGCTCCCAACAGAAGTATTTAGTGGCCGTATATATGTATAACATACGTGGCGTATCCTTAAACGTCCAGCGCAGAACACGTTCATTTTTTACGCCGCCACCGACAGCCACTGCACGAGAGTGGGTACACATTGTATACTACTTGTATGGTATATACATTGAGAGAAAAATAGGAACGCACGTGTCCACGAGGGTCCGTGTATTATATATATAGGGACAACAGCCAACAACAGATGCTTGACCTATGCTTATGTCAAACTGTTTCGGCTTCCACGCTCGTGTCTGTACGAGGGTATACATATACTGCTAGTATACGCGTACAAAGATGTTATTTCAATTACATTAAGGGAGGGGAGATGGACGTATTGATACTTTGTAAGAGGTAAAATTGATTGGCTGTGAAATTTCGTGTATTTAGCGATGGCGCGTCTTAGGCGAGCAGCGGAAATAACAGACGAGTCGAAAACGTCGAAGCTAACAATCCATCCGTTCGAGAGTGACATGTATATATGTATAAATATACGCCAACGTTGTACTTATCCACCGTGCGCCAGGAAGAAAATGGAAGAGAACGCAAAGTGAAGGAGGAAGTGCCGAGGTGCAGTGCACGCTTGTGTATAATATATATACACCTTATATACACGAACAAGTACGCTGAAAAGCATCTGGTACGCGGTGTACTGTTTTTTGAGAACAGATTTTGAAATTGTGAGAGCAAATGTTTTTTTTTTTTTTTTTTAGATTAAAATTGATTGAAAATCAAAGATGTGAAATTTTTTTAACTTTAACTGTTAAAATAATATGGATGATTTTAGCCAACATTAATCCAACCCGGCATAAATCCCATGAATCATTCGTAACTAACATATATTCCTATATTCCTGACTTTATTTTATTCCATTCAATAATTTTCAATCGACTCGTCATTAAATTTTTTTTTTTTTTTTTGCTATAAAAAACGATGATGCGTATCTCTGTTGAGGTTGACGATTAAGGGTGTTACTCTACCTATTTTTATTCAAATTTCAAGGAAAGGGGCTGAATAATTGAAGGGTTGCGATGAAATTCAATAAAATTATCTTTCCTATGATTTACTAAGCGCTTCATAAAAGTATGTATAACAAAATGGGTTGCTTGGAGGTGACGTGCATTTTTTAGCGGACTCGCTCCTGTATACTCTCGCCTCTACCTGTGTAATATTGATCCGAAGCCGAGCCACCTCTCGGTGCGTGCAGCCGTGGCTCGTGCAGGGGGTCGATTTCGTGCAGCTAAAAGATTTCCCTCGCACACCTTCGCCCATCCCCGTCCCTTACACACGTGAATATGAAAATATACGGAGGGGGGAAAAAAAATAACTCGTAATAAGAATAAAATAATGTATAGCTCCTCGAGAAGCATAAATATAAAAATCCCCCAATAAAATTGTTTGTACGTACGAGCACTGTACTCCCCTGTCCAGTTTAGACTGTACCGGTGAATTAAAAACCACAACGTACCCGCGCCGCGATAAATTAGTCATTTTTTCGAGCGTAAAAATTCTGAAAACCCACTGGTTTCGCGCACGAGCGGCATCGTAAAAAAGCAGCCAGATCTTTTTTTTTGTTCCCTTTGCAAGTTCCTCCTCCCCAGTTTTTTTTCTCCCTCCATCAGCAAATCATCCCAAACCAAAAGCCAACCTGGAAAGGCGACCCTCCGAGGACTCCTCCGTGAATTCTAATCACCGGGATCTCATTCCCGGCACGTCTCGTCCTTTTTTTTTTTTTTTTTTTTTATTTTTTACAGCCACGACCTGCCGTAGCACAGGTGAGTATACGTACAATGAGCCCAAACGAGGGCGATTATCCCGGGATAGGACCGATGCGGCGGACGTTATCGCACCGACGAATAAATCCCCGAGTAAAGTTTCTTCCACTGCGCGTGGGGTTCGATTTACCCGAGATTTACGTGGATCGCGTTTTCGGAGCTTGTCCTCCGTATTTAAGGTACATTTTAGGGGCGTCCCAACTTACCTTTCGAATATATACACACCTTGAAGTGACTATTGGACAGCAAAATAATTCAGTCGGACCCGATTGATCGTATACGTACTTTGAACGAGATAAACAAAATCCTGGCATTTCACGAGCGATAAAATTGCACCCCTAACACATAACCCACTGACACGTATACGTGGCAGCATCTCCTACGGTTGCAGATGAGAGACGCGCGCATCGGTGTATCCAGTTGTATGTGTATACCCGAAATTGGAGGCGAAAGGCTTTGGCAGCCGGCGTATCTGGGTCTCTTTTCCCCCCACCGACTGCGTGAGTCAATCAGTCGGAGGCTCCCTATAAATAAATCGTAACGTTATAGCGCGTCGTAACGCATTAGCGCAACGTCGCGTCACCGAGCACACACATAAAGGGGGAGTGGCGCGCAATGTGTCAGCTGCGAGCCCATCACGACACATATACAATATGGAGTAGCGCAAAAACATCGGCTCCATGTAAGTGCCGCACCTATATACTGGCCTTACGTAAATTCGCCCTTTTTTTTTCACCCCCTCTCTCTTGTTTACCCTCGCCCTTGGCCCCCCAACCCTATACGTGTGTACACGCGACACACGTTTCCAATGTTGGCTGGATTACTATGTGATCCCCTTATCTGCGGCGCGTGCGTTTTCTTACGGATGCCTTTCCCCCCCCCGTGTACAACATGTTCAGCGGCAAAACAGTGTAACCGATCCAGAAAAGGGAATTTACATTTTTCATGGACATATCGCCATATTCGTATAGTACCGGCAGAGGCAACGCGTACCTACTCGTCGATTAAGCACGGCAAACAGATTGACTGAATAAAACAAACAAAAAAAAAAAGTTTTTCTTTCATCAAGAGCAGCCGAGATGGACCGCTTACGAAAAAAAAAGGGTAGGTACATCGGCGCAATGTTGTGTAAACAGTGGAGCACAAAAAAGGGGGGGGGGAGGACGGCCTAAATGTTTAAAAGCCTGCAGGATGAGAGACGGTCGATCACCCTCGCGATCAAGCAGTGGCTATCGCACGCACACACGCGTCAGTTGTCCCCTTCGCGCGTGGACTCCGATGGGCTATTTTTTTCTTTTCTTACATTATTAAAGAAAGAGAGAAAAGTATAAGCTTGGTCCTTGCAGGCGTGGATGACTTGGTAAGAAAAACCAAGGGCATTCAGGGAGAAAAGTAAAGATAAGGAGGAGAGCCGAAATTTCAGATGACGAATCCGCACCCCACGTGTACGCGTAAGAGAGGGTAAACGCCCTACTCCACTGTCTCTGCGGGTCTTGGTTTTGGCCACGTCAAAGCCACGCTTATGTTACGTTGTGTGCACTGGACGGTATATTTTTCAAGGTTTTTTTTTTTTGTTTTCTCTCCTGAAAAGAGATGTCGGTAAAATATGCGAGGGCTATTGTTGCGCCGTAATTGCCGGCGATTCATTAGTTTTTTAGGGTCTGTATGGGAACGTGCGTACGCGTTATGGGGCACGCGATGGGATTGCGAGAGCCGGTGGACAATGGGAGGAATAATCGGGCCTTTTCAATGAACGAAGCGCGTTGATTATCGCCACCGGACAATTTGGTGTTTGTTTGAAATTTGTGGTGGTGAAAAAAAAGGGTAGTATTTTTCCATCAGAGCTCGTACGAGTGGTTTTGGCGCTTTCCACTATCAATATGCGAATAATCTCGTATTGTTTATTTTTCCAACTGCTTTAAAAAAAAAAAAAAAAAAAAAAAAGTAGCTGCGCGTCGCGTGACACAATATTAATCATAATCGCTGTGGGGCTGGTTATTCGAGCGATGAGATCTCTGGAGGGCTCAAAGCATGCGAATAGTAATAATAATCATAGCAAAGGAGCCGAGGGTGGAAAATGTGCAGACGACGTCGGCGACTAAGGGGGGGAATGAAAAAAATCGGCAATGGCGTCAAAAAAAGTCGAGCACTTTTTTGCACATATTTTTCTCCTCTCGCGACGCACTCGACTTTAATGAGTAGGAGACGCCTGGTGTGGATGAACGTGGTGATGAAAAGAAGACGAAAAAAATTTGTCGAGAGAGAAGAGTAATATGGATAAAGGTGAACGAATTTAATTTTTGTCTATTACGATGGTGAGATACGTATTTCGGTATGGGCATGAAAAATTGTTTATCGACAAATACTTGAGGTGGAGCAAGGCTCAAACCATCGGTGGTTCAAAGTGTGCGATGTTAATTACGAGGTTGAGAGGAAAAGAGAGTAAAAAAAAAAGAGTCAGTTGTAGTGTTTCAAAGTGGAGAGAAGCAGTAAAGTGTGCCTCGACATTTTTTCCCGAGGCTCTTGCTCGTTACTCCAGTGTCTAGGTACACGTGTATTTTTTTTTTTTTTTATCCATCCAGCGAGTTTTTTCGTTGCTAGGCACACGTGTTTTTTGTGCTTTTTCAGTGCGCTAGAAGAAAAAAAAAAAAAAAAAAAAAAAAAANAAAAAAAAAAAAAGCCCCAAGAAATAACAAATTTGCGAGGCATATACGAGGGACAGAATGGGGTTCAGACATCATAAACATCCCTTCTAGTGACCAAAAAGTACACAACGTACAAATTATTTACAAATGAGATTGTTCATCGTCGGTAAAACAATCGTACATATATAGCGAGGGAACTCTATTATGAAATTTTTTAGAATCCAGTTTTATTTTTATTTGAGGCATTTGGGGAAGAAATT